CTCGGAGATGAGCTATGTAAAGGGAGAGCGCACCGTCGGATGGTCTCCGAACGGAAAAGCAAAAAGTGTAAGTGAAAAGCAGCAGCGAGGCGAATTGCACTGGGGCATGGTGGTGGGAATCGGGACGGAGGGATGATCCCAAGGGAAGGAGGTCCACACACGCTGCCACATGGAAGGGACTGCCACGTCGTTTCCCGCAGATAGGTCTACCCGCTAAAAACATTTCAGTAGCATCCTATCACAAGCGAACTGTGTATCAGGAAAACATGTCAAGTTGCTTTCTACATACCAGTTTTGTAAAGAACGATTTGACAAAAGGCATTGGCACGCTTGGACATACTCGCATAAACAATTTAATCATTTCAATTAAATTATTTTTTCATATTAAATTTAATTATCTGATTAAAATTATTTACACTTGATTATGTGAGGCCATTCGTCCCTAAATAAGGCAAAACAAAATCAATGTATTACAGTATTGTATGCCAATGTTAAAATTGATGTGCGAATTCAAGCTCTTTGAACTCCCCTTCACCGACTGAAAAATATGATGGGAGACACACTCAAATGCAGAATCGTGAATCTGTAGACAATTGACACAACCGCTCAAAACTGTTGATCCTTCTCCACTAGGAACCTGCTCCTGCTCACACTCCGCCTCGCACTTCCCCACCCCCAGAATCTCCGCCTAGGGCAACCACACGGCGATGTGTTTCCGCACCGCCCGCTTCCCCGCTCCGACTGCACACTGCGCACCATCTTCCCTTCCCCGCATCCCCCACGCACCTCCCCCCCACGGCTCTCCCTTTTTCTTCCCCCCCTCGCCTCTCCCTCGCCCTCTTTCTCTCCCTCCGCTTCACCTCGAACTGGTAGTCGCAGCCTTCTTAGCAGCTGTTCTGCAAACCCTAATTCTCTTTTCGCCCTTTATTCTCTTCTCCGTCGTCCCCTCTGTCTCCCTAACTCGCCGCCATGGGTGAGCAACTTAGCTTCCGCGGCCACCTCAAGGGCCACTCCGATTGGGTCACGTCGATCGCGTGCCCGATCGACAACAGCGATTCTATCATCTCATGCTCGCGCGATAAGGGCATCATGTCGTGGTCGCTCACTCGCGACGCCGCCTCCGCCACGGGCGTGCAGCTCGCCGGTGTGCCCAAGCGCCGCCTCACCGGCCACGGCGGTTTCGTGCAGGTGAAGCTTCGAATCTTTTAGATTCTTTTTTTTCACGGAGATTTCGTGCAGCTGCGTTTCATTGTAGATTCTCGGTCTCCCGGCGTAAACCGCGCAATTTTCCGGTCTGTTGCTGGATCTAAAAATTGCTGGTGTTGTGGCTGAGCTAGCTGCGCTCATTATGCGACAAAGAGCCCGTGTGTTTGCACACTGGTGTGATTTGCCGAACTAGTTAGTAGCTCGTCGAGGCTCACATTTGTGCCCGCCGCTCGACGTATTCGCGGATCGCTTAGTAATTTATAGATGGTGTGTGGCCGCCATTCGTCGACTGTCGTCCCGCATTTGCCAGCAACATCTTTCTTGTTGGCCGTTTATTCACGTCGCCATTCTTCTCGTTCCTTCGTCTCCATGCTCTCTGGTCGCACTCTCCAGTATAACGCATACGCTAGGTCTTCCGATGGTCAGATAGGGCTCTCCGGCTTGCCTGACCTCAACACCAGCGCATCCTGATTCCGGTATCCCTTCCCCTTTTCCCCACACTCACCCTCTAACGCGTACAACAGGACGTCGTGATCTCATCCGATGGTCAGTTCGCGCTGTCCGGCTCGTGGGACAGCACCCTCCGCCTGTGGGACCTCAACACCGGCGCCACCACGCGCCGCTTCGTCGGCCACACCAAGGACGTGCTCAGCGTCGCGTTCAGCGTCGACAACCGTCAGATCGTGTCCGGGTCGCGCGATCGCAGCATCAAGCTGTGGAACACGCTGGGCGAGTGCAAGTACACGATGAACGACGCGGACGCTCATCAGGGGTGGGTGTCGTGCGTGCGCTTCTCGCCCGTCAACACGCACCCCATCATCGTGTCCGCCGGCTGGGACAAGGTTCGTTGGGCGGTTGTAACGGGGTTCGCTGGGCGCCTAGAATCAGGCACGTTGGGCGGTTGGGATTAGGTTCGCTCGGCAGCTTATGCCTCTCAAAAGGCGCTTCTCGCCCGTCAACACGCAGCCCATCATCGTGTCCGCCGACTGGGACAAGGTTCGTTGGGCGCCGGGGATTTGATTTGTTGGGCGGCTGGGATTAGGTTCGTTGGGCCTCTGAGATTAGGTTTGTTGTCGGATGCGGCAAAGTACCTTGGAGGCTAGAATAAGATCCATTAAGCGGCTGGTATCAGGCCCTGAACACAATGAGGTTCTTAACGGTCGCAGTTGGGCTGGATTACGTTACGTACCTTTCCAGCCAAGGTTGGGTATGGGGATTGCAGGTGCCGTAGTTTCCCTCTCAGCAGCTGCGACGCTAGAGTGTGCGCTAGCGGAAAGGCCCCTCCCTTTGCCCCTCTTGCACGGGCGGCCTCCTCCCGCTGTCCTCCGACGCGTTAGAACCGTCCCGTAGAGCCTTGGGAGTCGACTCCCAAGTCAGGTCAGATTTCGCTGGGTGGACTCGCCAGTCCAACAATCGAGTCTTCTTTGTTCCCCGCTTCCTTTTCCTCTCCCTTCAGCACCTCTCTCCTCCCCTACCCCCAACTATACCCCTTTCAACCCCCCTCCCCCCCTCCGTCCCCCCTCCTCCCGCCCTCTTTCCTCCATTCCCTCATTCCTTCCGCCCCCCTTCCCCTTCCACTTCCCCTCCCCTTCTCTTTTCCCCCTCCCCGTTCCCCTTCGCTTCCTTCTTCTCCCTTCCCCCCACCCCTTCCACCCGCCGTTGCCCCCCGCCATTCCCCCTGACCACTTGCAAGCTCCGCCACAGCCTGCTCCCATCAACACTACCATTGCTCCCTGTCCCCTCCCCTCCCCCCTTGCCCCTTCCCCCTCTCCCCTCTCCCCCCCCCCCTCTTCTCCTCTACACCTCCAGGTGGTGAAGGTGTGGAACCTGACCAACTGCAAGCTCCGCCAGAACCTGCTGGGCCACACCGGCTACGTCAACACGGTGACCGTTTCCCCTGACGGCTCGCTGTGCGCGTCCGGCGGAAAGGACGGCGTGGCGATGCTGTGGGACCTGGCGGAGGGCAAGCGGCTGTACTCGCTCGACGCGGGCGACATCATCCACTCGCTCTGCTTCTCCCCGAACCGCTACTGGCTGTGCGCCGCGACGCAGTCGTCGATTAAGATCTGGGACCTGGAGAGCAAGAGCCTCGTGGACACGCTCGTGCCGGACTACGAGCTGGTTCGCGCGCGCGGCAGCACGGAGTTCAAGGGCCAGGTGAGGGGTGGGGGAGCTAGATGGGGAAGGGGATGGGTGAGGGTAGAAGGAGAATAGGGAGAGTTCAAGGGCCAAGCAAAGGAGGAGGGGTAGTTAAGTGAACGAGGGGCCTGGAGCGGCACATTTGGGATACGTGGGGGAAAGTGACGGAGGGGGGTAGGGGGGAAAGGGGGTTGGTGGTCGGGTGACCTGGGGAAGAAGAGCCAGGTGGACACCCTTGTGCTGGAGGTGTCAGCTCAGACCAGATGAGCGGCGGGGAAAGACAAAGGCCAGGTGCGTGGAGAAGGGGGGGGGGGGGGGGGGGGGGGGGGGGCTCGAGGGGGGGTGAGCGGAGGGGAGGAGAGTCAAGGGACGGGTGAATGAAAGAGACGGGTTAGGGGAAAAGAGGGCTTTGAGGAGTGCGTGAGGGGAAGTGGCAGGCGAGGAGCAGGGCGGTGGCGCCTCGTGGTATGCTAGTTCGCCGTGACAAGCAACACGTATCTGGGGCATACTGGCAGGGAAGGGAACGAGCGGGGGGAAAGAGGGGGATCATGTGAAGTCATGGTGCCGAATCTGAAACAAAGCCTTTGTTTCCTTTCCAGAAACGGTCATTTAAGAATAGGAGGCGAGGGGCACTGGGGGTTAGGCGAGGTGAGAGGAGAGGAGCACGGAGTTAAACGGACATGAGAACAGGCAAGCTTGGTACGCTAGTCAGGGGAAGAAGCCTGCAAACTAGTAGGCTGGGTTTGAGAAATTTTGGGGCATAACTGCACTGGTGCGGAGAAACAAAGATCGAGGTGAACGGAGAGGTTTTGTTCCACCGGTGCGCGTTTTGGGCTTTGTGGGGGCAAAAAGGCTGGGGGTGGGGGGGTTGGGGGAACAAGCTGAGGGTTGATGAGACAGAGGGTGATTGCGACCTCAATAGCTGCAAATGATTGGGTTTGCAGTTGCCAAAATGAAGAATTAGGATTGTATCTAGGACTTTCAGAGTGCTGCTAAGAGTGTCCCATTTCTCACCTTTTCTCACTCTCCACCCACCCTCAACCCTCCCATTTCCGGCCTCCCCACTTCCTCTCAAACTAACCTTTCCCCCCCATTTTTTTGCTCTCTGCCTCCCTCTTCCCCCTCTCGTCCCCTTAACCAGACGCCGTACTGTGTGAGCCTCAACTGGAGCGCGGATGGAGCCACCCTCTATGGTGGTTACACCGACGGTTACATCCGTGTCTGGTCCGTTGGCCGGGGCTTCTAAAGGAGGAGTTATTGCAATGGAAGCTGGCCCTTCCCTGGACATTCTACAGCTTTGCAAGACAGAGATGGGGCTTTTAGAGATGTGCTTCTGTGCTGTCCTGTCGTGAAGATAAGTGTCCTAGAGGATTGTGCCCACAGGTGTTGGCGGAGGAGTTTTGTGGTGGTTGTTGCAGTAGCATGCAGCATGCTGTATTCCTCTTGTTGATGCAAATGAAATGCATTCACTGTCTTCAGCCAATGATGGAAGCTGAGAAGAGTCTGATTGGAATGTTATTGCTTGGCCAAAGTAATGTATGGCAGGTTCTCCATAAATACACTGTCACCATAGGGAAAATGAACCTGCATTAGCAAGGATAGAGTCAGCAGTGTATACATTGCAATACACAAGTACCGGTACTTTAAATATGAAGTTAATTTTCTCCAGGGAAATCGCCTGACTGGGGAAGCTCCAGCTTCACATCCACGAAGTCATCCCCATCTGAAAAGTAAACCAGCCTCTCACCCGCCCCGGCTTGCCCTCCTTCCGAATCAAACCCCTCTCCGAGCACCACTGGTGAGTCCAATGATGGCGGCATAGCAGCGCCTGCGGGCAGCTGACTGGCGTCAAGACTGAGATTCCGGTCCACAAAGTCCTCTCCATCTGAAAAGTACTGGAGCATGCCGTCAGGAGTAGCCTGGGCGTCTGCCAGTACGAATACAGGGTTGATACCCATTGGCGAGTCGAGGGATGGGATCTCTGCACCAAAACCCCTTGCTTGTGAGTCCTCTCTGTCTTCTTTTGGAGCTGCTGCTGTTTTGTCTGCTTCGCTTGCGACAAGCACACCCACTGTAGTGGCAGCTGCAGCTGCAGCGGCCACTGCGGATGCACGAGTGGCGGTAAATGCGGCAACTTTAGCAGGATTCTCCTGCTGCCTCGTGTCCCCATCAAGAGCAGAAAGAGCAGCAGATGCAGCAGCGGAGGCTGCAGATGAAGGAGCGGCAGTACGCTCGTCTTGTTTATTCATGAGGAAGGCTGTGGGTTCTATGGGCCGAATGGCTCTACGACCGAGTGTTTCCTGTTCAAGAAAGAACGAAAAGACAGGGAAGCATGGAATGTAACAGTTGAGATGAATTGATGCGATTCGGATGTTCAGATGCACAACAAGCTTAACTGGGGAAGCATTTGTGAGTCGACTCAAAAGCACCCCATAACAAGCCCAACCAGGAAAGGAGGCGAAGCCGCGTACCTTGAGAGTGTCGAGAAGAGGGCGGGAGGAGATGAGGTCGGAGGATTGGGAGGAGGAGGAAGCAGAGAGAGCCCTCTGGTCCATGGCATCCCGCATTAGGCGCCGCACAAACACCACATCGTCTCTCATCACCCCCATGTCCTGCAGAAGCATGGAGCCGAGGCGGAGACCAGTCTGCAGTGAAGGATTGGGGGGAAGGAGAGGGAGAGGGGTTGGTACAGGGGCAGCGAGAGGGAGGAATGGCACAAACACCACATCATCTTGCATCACCCCCATGCCCTGTAGCATCATGGAGCCGAGGAGGAGACCAGTCTGCAGTCAAGGAGGCAGCAGGAGGAACACAAGGGGAGAGGGACAGGGGTTGGTTTAGGGCAGTGACAGACAGGGAGGAATGGTTCAAAGACCATGTTGTTTCACGCAACTCCTTTGTCCTGAAGGAGCATGGAGCCCAGGCAAAGACCAGCCTGATGGACACACAGGAGAAGCGAGAGCAACACGGATTGGTCCAGGGACCGGGGGCAAGGTGTTGGACGTTGTGTCAAGACAGGAGCGATGGGGTGGAGAAAGAGCTACCAGCAGCATATAGGGATTGGCTGGGAGCTATCAATTTGCCACAGCATGCGTCTTGCGAGACTCACCTCAGCGCTCTCCAGCACAACGTCAGTGGCCCCTGCTTGCCTGAGCTCCGACAGATGCATTGAGTCCACTGCCCGTGCATACAGGGGCACCTGGAAGAGCAAGGGGAGGAGGAAGGAAGGGAGGGAGGAGGGGGAGAGAGAGGTGATCATGTCCGTGAGTAAACTCATGAGTGACACTCACGATTCACTTGACAAACTCTCACACGCGACACGTGTCCTTGAGTCAACACACAACACGCAAAAATGCCGTTACAGACACTCACCCCAGGAAAAGCCTCTTTGAGCCGCTCGATTGAAGCCACGGATCGGGTGCGGCTGGAATAGACGACCATGAAGGCCTTGGGGCGGCGAATGCCGGCCGATTCCAGCACTGCCGGGCGGCTGCCGTCGCCATACAGGACGGGGAAACCGAGCGATGCACCAAGCTGTCAGGGGATTAAGAAGGGTGCGGGTGAGGTTCAGAGAGAAGTTGGGTACTAGGAAAACTTTAAACTCGTTACAAGTTGAAACTGGAGGATACGTGAAGGAGAAGGAGTGTGAGGGAGTGAGAGGGGGTGCAAGGAAGTGAGAGGGGGTGCAAGGAAGTGAGAGGGGGTGCAAGGGGGCTTTGGCTTACCCGCACGCGCTTGGGGTTGAGATCGAAGGAGATGAAGTTCCAACCAGCAGCGTCTCCCCCTGACCCTGCTGCAAGTGGCGTGGAGAGGAAGTTGGCTAGCACCTGCCCCATCTGGTTGAACCCCAGGATGACTATCGGCTCCGCACCGGCGAAGTGTGTAGAGTGGGATGCCTGTATGGTGGTAGTGGCAAAGGGGTTTGGTGGGGGGAAGAGAGGGGAGGATACTGAGCACCTGCCCCATCTGGTTGAACCCCAGAATGACTATCGGCTCCGCACCGGCGAAGTGTGTAGAGTGAGATGCACCTGCCTGTATGGTGGTAGGCACAACAGGAGGGTGAGAGGGGGGATAGGGTGGGTAGGGTAGACTGGTGAGCACCTGCCGCATCTTGTTGAACCCCGGAATGACTTAAGGCTCTGCGCCAGCAAAGTGAGTAGAGTGGGATGCGCCTGCCTGTGATGGTGATAGGAGGAATGGAGGGTGAGTGGAGGAATAGAGGGGGCCGGGTAGGCTGGTGAGCACTGGCACAAGTTAGTTGAATTGAACTCCGCAATCAGTGCCGATTTGTGAAAGGAAGGCAAAAAGAAGCAGAGAGTTTGTGGTGTTAGAATTCCCATGTTCTAGCATGCTAACACTTGTGACTGTACACCAATTGTGGTGTACAGTTGGGTTGGGACTACACCCAACTTTGGGTGTAGTCTTGCATTTTGGGGTGCCAATCCAACCCAATTGTGGTGGAGCCCCCAAATGCAACCCTATGGGCCATAGGTTGGCCCACTCCCCCAAGTGTGGCCAACCCAACCCAATGGGCCATAGGCTGGCCTACTCCCCCAAGTGTGGCCAATCCAACCCAATGGGCCATAGGTTGGCCCACTCCCCCAATCCCACCTCCCTCCTTTCCCTTCCAACCTTCTCTTCCCAAAGCTATGTATGCTTGCCAATTTCCTCATGAAACCAATGCTTCAATTTCCTTTCTTCACATGTGGGCCATGCCAGCCTTCATGAGAGTTACGGAAGCAGCAGCAGAGAGACATGGACTTACCACTTCGCCTTCCATGCCGCCATCAGCTTCGCTCATCGCTCCATTCCCACCCGCTCCCAGTCTACCAACAACCGCCCCACCACCCACGCCGCCGGCAGCAACAGTGGCAGCATCCTTGGATTCGATGTTGTCTTCTATGTATTCTGCTGCTCTGCGCCCCAGGGCGTCGAGGAAGGGCGTGAGCGCCATGGAGAGCACCACCACGATGATGAGCAGGCGATTCAGCTCCAATGGCAGAACGCCGAGCCTGAGTGGTGGTAGCGGGATAGGGAGGGAGATGGAGGGAGGGAGAGGTCGAGGAAGGGCGTGAGCGCCATGGAAAGAACCACCACTATGATGAGCAGGCGGTTGAGCTCTAAGGGGAGCACGCCTAGTCTGAATCAGAGGTGGTGGGAGAAAGGAAGGCAAGAGCGAGGAGGGAGGGCAGAAGGAGAACAAGAGGGTGCTGAGTTGTAGAAGAGCGAGGATGGGGGGCATAAGGTTTGAGAGAGCACCCAAATTGTAGAGAGGGAAGCAGGGAGGAGAAATGTTACGTCGAAGGAGGAGTGTGGGTAATGCTAAAAACGTATGACTCACTGGTTGGCGAGGGCGAAGACGACGAAGGCGAATTCACCCCCTTGGGAGAGCAGCAGCCCCGTGCGCACGGACTCCGAGAGAGTGAGCCCCACACGCGGCCCCAACGCCGTGATTATGGCCGCCTTGATGCCTATGAGGCCCACGAGGAGCGCCAGGATGTTGGGCCACTCCGATGCCAGCAGCTGAAAATGAAAGAGACAGGGGGAGATGGACAGGGGGGGTGCGAGAGAGTGAGACGGAAGCTGTGGTGATGGCTGCCTTTATACCTATGCGGCCCGTCAGTAGCGCCAGGATGTTGGGCCACTCCGATGCCAGCAGCTGAGGAGGGAGGTGGGAGACGAATGGAGAGGACGAGTGTGAGAAATTGCAATGGAAGCTGCAGTGATGGCTGGCTCTATGGTGATGAGCCCTGCCAGCAGCGCCAGGATGTTGGGCCACTCCGATGCTAGCAGCTGCAGAGGGAGCTGCAGTGATGGCTGCCTCTATGGTGATGAGCCCTGCCAGCAGCGCCAGGATGTTGGGCCACTCCGATGCTAGCAGCTGCTGAGGGAGCTGCAGTGATGGCTGCCTCTATGGTGATGAGCCCTGCCAGCAGCGCCAGGATGTTGGGCCACTTTGATGCTAGCAGCTGAGGGGGTGTGGGGAAGAGAGAGTGGGGATGGAAAGAGGTGGTTGAGATGGAAGCTGCGGTGATGGTTGCCTTAATGCTTATGCAGCCCACCAGCAGCGCCAGGATGTTGGGCCACTGCGATGCTCACAGCTGGGGGGGAGAGGGAGACAGTTGGACAGAGAGAGTGTAAGAGAGCTGATAGCTGTGGTGATTCCTGCTCTTATGGTTATGAGACTGGTCGGGAAGCAACAGGATGTTGGGCCACTCCGATGCTAGCAGCTGAGGCAGTAGGTCCCATTGATGCAAGTGGCAGGATGGATGGAACAACTTCTAAGAGTGCCAATATCAAGAGAAATTTAAGAGATGACAAGAGTGCTGTCTTGATAGTGAGCATGATAACAAGGGGCTTGCACTCTGGGTGCCTGAAACAGGGCATAGAAGATCCACAGTGACACAAGTGCACTCACGTTGAGGTCGATGGAGCTGCCAGTGGTGACGAAGAAGAGCCCCAGCAGCAGCCCTCTGAAGGGGCGGATGTCTGCCTCCACCTGCGTGCGGTAGTTGGTCTCTGCCAGCAGTGCTCCTGCTAGAAACGCTCCCAGCTGCACACGTGTGCACGGACGAGACAGGGGGGAGTACAGAAGAGTCGTTAATCCTTAACGTTTATTAGAGAGGCGCAGTATGGTGAGCAAGGAAGGGCACCTGTTACTAACGTTCGTACTCGTAACCATGCGTGAGGGAAGCATGTAAAACAAAGATCTGACAACTTTGTGGGTGGGTAGTCTTACCGAGTCACTGAATCCGAGCTTGCTGGTGATGAGAGATGTTCCCGTGACTGTGAGCAGGCAGAGCGCAATGAACGCCTCTGAGCTTCTCGACTCAGCCACGAACTGAAGAGAGGGCGAGGGAGAGAGGCGGGCAGAGGGAGAGGAGGGATGAGGTGGGAGGGAGAGAGATGAAGGACAGGCACAGGGTGCAAAGCTTCTAAACTGCAAGAGTCACGAATCATGCCATCATGCTATCATGCCATCATGCTATCACGCCATCATACCATCACGCCATAATACCATCACGCCATCATACCATCACGCCATCATACCATCACGCCATCATACCATCACGCCATCATGTCATCATGTTATCATGCCATCATGCAATCACGCCAGCACGCAATCACTCCATCACGCCGCCACGCCATCACGCCATCATGTTATCATGCAGCCTCACCTCAAACAGCCGTCGCAAAGCGATGCGCCCCGTGTAGAGCAGCACTCCGAGGCCCAGCAACGACTTGGCTCCCTCCAAAGCGAGCAGAGGGAAGATGGAGTCGTCCGTGAAGTCCTGGGCGTGGGCAAGGGATTAGGCGGAGACATTAGGAGGTGACAAATGAGATTAGTTGAGTGGAGATTCTTGAGTCGAATCATCGGTAACCTTGGCTCCCTCCAGAGCGAGAGGGAGGATGGAATCGTCCGTGTGAAGTTTTGAGAGTGGGAAGGGGGCAGGGAGAAGAGATTAAGAGGGATGGCTGGTGCGGACAGGCTGTGAGCGAATGGGGTTTGAGGGATTGAGGAGCTCAAGAAGGGCGCAGGGATGATTCACGCTGTATGCAGCGTAGTACCATTTATAATGTACGACCCGCGCACCTGCAGTTCTATGCTGAGCGCTTACGCTGTCTGCTGCCGATGTTCAGGGACTCGGTCATGCGGAAAGCGAAGGATGCTAGCATGCGCCTGTACTGTACTGTCTGGTGAGATGTGAGCTTTAAGAGAAGGCCTCAACGGCATGTCAGCTTTTCCCTTGCAGTGGCAGTAATCACATTATGGGATCACCTCGTCAGAACAGCATGCCATACCATTTCTCCATGCAGCATCATGTGCTGAGACTAGGTGCCACGTTCATTAATACTGGAATGTGTCACGACTTGCCATGTGGTTGTTGATTGGCGATTGTTTTGTTTCTTACCCCGTTTTCGAGGATAGGGAGAATGACGAGCAGAGGGACGACTGCAATGTCCTGCAGCAGCAAGATGCCGAGAGTTGCAGACCCGTAGCGAGTGGCGAGCTCACCCTTTTCAGACAAAAGCTGCATGAGGCGATTGGAGGGGGCGTGGAGAGGAGGAAGCGGAAACGGTGGGGAGAACAGGGGAGGAAAGCGAGTGGGAAGTGAAGGGGATGTCACGAGTGGGATTTTTGTTGATTGTGGATAGATAATGGGGCTTTAATAGATGTGTACCATGTGGGACTGGCACTCGAAAAGATACTGACTGAATAGCACCTGGACACGAATTGAATGTTGGTGGAATACTGCTGACTGAGCCCTGAAGAGAGCGTGAGACGTGTGCAGAGCTTGAGCCCACCTGAAGCACGAAGGCGGAGGAGGAGAGTGCAAGAGCAGCTCCGATGACCACAGCTTCATCTAGTGACCGGATGTTCACCTGCAAGGGGGCATGCAAGCACAGGAGACCCAGGCCGGGCAAGCACAGGTAGGTAATGGCTTTTAGAAACGCTTGCCAGAGCGCAGGGACCTTTGGTTTTTCACCACGGATGCTATCTCTCGAGCTTGTATCCTACGGAACAGCTGACGAGTAGAACAGGTGAGCACGTACCAGATCAGCTTTGGCCCCAAAGAGGAATTCGAGTGCGCGCGTGCCAATGGCATTGTCAATTGGCAGCTCGAACGCTGTAAAGGCAAGCGTTGTGAGGAGAACCTGTAGGTATGAAAGGGGGGAGGGAGGGAGGAAGAGACGGAGGGAGGGAGGGAGGGAGGGAGGGAGGGAGGGAGGGAGGGAGGGAGGGAGGGAGGGAGGGAGGGAGGGAGGGAGAGGGGGAGGGAGGGAGGGAGAAGAAAGGCGGGCGGGGGAGAGAGTAAGCAAGTACCGTGGGAACTGTATCAGTGTGCTGAGCACAGGAACGAGGACAACCAGTAAGGTGTGGTGTCGGTTCAAAGACACTAGGAAAGACGGACGAGATAGGGACTGGGTGGAAGAATGGAGGATAGTCATGATAGGTGGACGGAGGAGACGCATGCAGAGCCAAAAGAAGGTTCTGAGGAAGTCATGAACCAGATTCGGGGAGACCTGGACAAGGCAATGACTGGGTGCCTTGAGATGTGGGGAGGTGAGCGAAGAAAAGGGTAATGCCAGGAGGTAGATGGGGGAAGATCTACGGAGAAGGGAGGAATCTGGGGAGGGGAGCGTCGGGAGCAGGTGATACCTGGGGAAGGCCCATGCCGAATGCGAACTTGGCGAGTGCTCTGAGTCGCTCGAGGGAAAGCTCAAGGCCCATTTCGAAGAGCTGTCATGGGGACGGTTAAGAGATGTGCGGATTGAGGAGTGATGGGGAGCTAAGGGAGGAGGGGGGGGGGAGCGATAATCATTCACAAATTCGTGTGCGTGCATCCGGCAAGTGCGTGAATGGAGCTGGTAACTGCGCAACGAAAATGTGTTACCCTATCTTTTCTAACCATTTCCTCAACTTCATTTAGTTCTCTTTGGCACCTTTCAAATTGCCACCCTTTTCTTACAGAGAGCAGAGGAAAGGCACCGCTGTAGTCACTCACGAGGAACAAAATTCCGAGCTCGCTCAGCGCCTTGACGTCGGTGATGTTCCGAATGAGCCCCAACTCGTTAAGAGCAACTCCCGATAGCAGAAATCCGAGAATCTGCAACGCACCAGAGCCCGAAACGTATGAGGATAAACGGCGGAGATAGGAACCAAGCACACGATGAGGTCAACATGTGAGGTAATCGACTCGAACCGATTCGCAAGCTTCATAAAGGCTCGCTGCTCGCATTTCTGTCTGGTGGAGTTACGCAGTGAGTGAGACTCTCCGTCCCGCCTTACCGGGCTTATTTTGAGGCTCTTAAATGCGGGGATGACAATAACGGTGGCCACCAGGAACGTGAGTGTATCGAGCCCCAGCGACCCAATCACATCGTACGCCGCATTCGAGCCTATCTCGGGACCCACAGCTTGCACCACCACTCTTCTTCGCGCACCAACTTCCGCCGCCCCTCTACGACTCCCGAATCCGTCCCCTCCTGTTCTCCGAAGCCCCGGCCCCACCCCCATCCCTTTGAGGAAAGGCCTGTTTGCAACCCCAGCGCCTCCTTGCGACAAAATCTCATTCCGCGTTCCCTGGTTGCTCCGCGCAGATGCGGAGTTTCCCCTCGTGTCAACATTCTTCCCCGCGGTTAGAGATCCAACACGAGCGGATGAGGAGAGCGGAGTTAGGGCGTGCGCGGAAGACGACACGCAAAAAATGGCGGAGCGGCGATGGCGGCTGCTGTTACCGCAGCAGGCGCTGGTTTCAGCTCCCACGGTGCCGCGGGAAAATCCGCTGCCGCTCCGAACAGAAGCGCCGCTGAGGGAAAATCGGGCCTGCTCGTGGGTAGGCGGGGAGGCTGGGCTTGCGGTGCTCCATGAGATTAGGGATACGCGGGAAGGGGGGATTGAAGGGAACCGAGGAAAAGGAGGTGGTGTTGAGACGGCGGAGGGTCTACAGCACCGTTGACGGGGCACGGAGCTGTTGAGGGGGTGCATACGTGGGGATAGCGGGGTCGCTGTTGGCGCGTACAGCGAGGAGCGGGCAAGCACAGGCGACATCAGTTTGACGAAGTGTATGGCAGGCGACGAAGAATGTGAAGTTTCCTCGCGCAAAGTTCGAATGAAGGAGCTTTACCCAGTCGGGACGGCGGATAACAGAGGCGTTCGGGCAAAAGCCGGATGCTCACGGACTAGTGAAACGTGATGTGTGTCCGTCGGTAACCTACAGCGCCGAACGTCTTCGTGCGGGGTCTACACTCAAATCTGCTAGGCAGCTCTTCGAAAATGTGGTGGGTGAGACCCACGACTGGCTCGACTGACCTGTGCTCGCTCAGCTTGGTCGATACTGGCGCGATCTGGGACAAATCTTAGGCACGTCTGTAGATAGGCGAAATGTGGTCAGGAGGGGGCTGTGCAGCTGAGGAAGGGAATGGATGCGGGAACATTGGGGGGAAGAGCCCTGGCTGTCAATTCAGGATGCTTCTAAATTTGGAGGTTGGACTTCCAACAATGACTAGTTTGCTTGCACCGGGGCGGCAGCTTGGCTCCCAATTTCTTAGCTCCGTCCCATTTTGATAAAATGCATGTGATGGCAAGAACTCCCAAATTTGTATGGTCCGGCCTTCTTGCAGGTACACTTATATTTTCCGTTGGTTTCCGGGCCTGACATACAAAATCACAGGTCATGTAAGCTGACCGAACATACGATATTCAAGGAGACACTGACATAATAAAATAATGCTTACCTTCGTAGATCTCACATGGCAACCCACCACCCAATCAACTGCGAACAAACCATATGGCGATATTCGATTGGTAGATCGAAATGGTTCCACGTTATCTTGAACGAGGTGTTTTCTGGTCGTCAAAATTCATGGACGCCACATCAGTTCAAGCTGTCCGCTTCGCTCCTTCTTTGAATTCTGCTCCTTGTTCACTTTGTTGAGGTGATATTTCGCGGATCCCGAAACAGACTCCGATGTAAGCATGTTTGCTTGCACTAAGCTGACTGTAACTGGAAATGTCAGATTTTTTCTTGGCAAATGTGGAGATACAATTGAAATTTCCTGGGACGGAGCTATCACATTTTCCATTAATAACAAGGAAAATGACGCCATCACCTCAACATTGTCTTCTAGCAACTGCGACTAATGTGTTTTAATTGCCGGCATCGGCAACTGCAACTGCCACCATGTGCTCAATGAGGTCAATGACACGATTGCTGCATAGTCAACGGAAGGGTATGGTTAGGTAGTCCTTGCAACACAAGAAAAAGGAATGCAGCAAAAAAACGCCATTTTCATTACCTGTAGCCCCACTCGTTGTCGTACCACGACACCAGCTTCACGAAGTTAGGAGTGAGAGCAATCCCTGCCTTGGCATCGAAAATGCTCGACCTGCAAGGCTCAGAAACGTTTATCAGATGCAAAGCTTGACATAATGAAGAGGCACACAGAACATTGCTCGAAATTCTGTAATTACCTGGGGTCACCCAAAAAGTCAGTGGAGACCACGTCGTCCTCAGTGTATCCAAGATAGCCCTTCAGAGGGCCCTCAGATGCAGCCCTGCACGTCAAGCACGTACACATATTAACAAATGTCCTTGCGAACCTCAGTGAAAGGAGCTAACGTTGTGAGGAAGCTCTCCGTACTTGATGGCTGCCTTGATGTCATCGTAGCTGGCTCCCTTCTCCAGGCGAACGGTGAGGTCAACCACCGACACATCAGGAGTGGGCACACGGAAGGCCATGCCAGTCAGCTTGCCGTTCAGGGCAGGGAGGACCTTGCCCACAGCCTGCATTAACAACAAAAACACCGAACAGTCGTTGAGGTGCTATTCCTGACCATGCATTCACATCTTCCATCATAACATTTGTGTACAACATACTCTTTCAGTAGGCAGAAGAAAATAACGAACCCAGGTGATGTCCTACCTTGGCTGCACCAGTGGAGCTGGGAATGATGTTCTGTGCTGCTCCACGGCCGCCACGCCAGTCCTTGGCTGATGGCGCATCAACAGGCTTCTGCGTAGCTGCAACACAAAGGGAAATCATGGCAAGCGTAAGACCACGAACATTTCAAGCACGAAGGCGGAAGGCATCGCTTTCTGCCATATACTGACCTGTGACAGCGTGAACAGTGGTCATAAGGCCCTCGAGAATGCCAAACTCTTCGTGAACCACCTGTTCCGGATAATTTATAAGAAACAGCGCATTAGGGAACCGCGTACTCTTGGTACGGCAATACTGTTATAGGGAGATATTGGACCTTAAATTCATGTAAGGTTTCCTCACCTTGGCGAGAGGAGCCAGGCAGTTGGTGGTGCAGCTGGCGTTGGAGACAACGTTCATGGTAGGAAGGTACTTCTCGTCGTTGACTCCCATCACGAACATGGGAGCGTCTGCTGAAGGAGCCGAGATCACAACCTTCTTCGCGCCAGCCTTGATATGGGCCTCGGCCTTGTCGATAGTGGTAAAAACACCTGCACGCACAATAACGAAAGTACGTTGCCCACTACACCGTCTTTTGAGTCGTTAAGAGGAAACACATTCAAATCCCCTACCTGTGGACTCAACCACGAAGTCGACACCAGATTCACCCCAGGGAATCTCAGTTGGGTCCCTGCACATGAAAAGGACCGGTGAGCGTAAGCCATTTTGCTGATTATCACATGAATCCGGGATGCAAAACGATCGGAGACCAAAGCTCTGACCTCTTTCCGAAAACAGCGATGGTTTGTCCGTCAATGTTGATGGCGTTCGCGCCCTCAGCATGAATTTCGCCGGGGTATGTGCCATGGGAGCTATCGTAGCGGAACATGTAAGCCTGAGGAGTGGAAATCGTAACAGGAACGAGTCGGCACAATCCAACGCTGAATAACAATGTGGCAAAACGAAAGATAGATGTGGCAAATGATGACGACAACATGAAGTCATGGAATCTTCATGTGGAAATACCATGTAGTCAGTGTCAATGAACGGGTCGTTGATACCAACGACCTCCACGTCAGGCCTGCCCAGAGCAACGCGAAGAACAAGACGACCGATGCGACCAAAACCTGAGAAGGTAACGGTAGATGTTAGCATTCAGGTTGTGTTACGGAAAGCACACATGCCGACATGAAATCGAACTGATTACAATCCATCACTACGACATACCATTGATTCCGATGCGGATCTTGTTCTTGCTCTTGGAAGCTGTCACAGTAAACACACGAGGTTGTTAGAGAGTGGTCAGTTGATTTATGACACGGTTTCGTTCCACCTAGATCCTTCAAAATGACTCACCAGAGTCAGTGGGTGGTTTCTCCGTCGCAATAGCAGCCCTAGTTGCGACGCATCTCGATGCCTTCGTTGCCTTCAAGGGCTTGCATGAGCCCACGGGACTGTTGTTCACGCGACACGACCGAGCGAAGGCCTGACAAGGCGGCAACAAGACATATTAGAATCCCTGGTGATGACAGCAACAGAAGCGAAGAACGTGCGCGATAAAACGCGGGTTTAGCTGTATACAGAGGTTGTACCGCATGAAAAAACTATTTCTCGGTCGAGCTTACCAGCTCAGTGGCATTGCTGGCTTCGGAAACAGTCCTCTTCTCAGAGGCCTTCAGCACGGTTGGCACGCGTGCAGAGAGGGAGATCGCGGTGGCCATCGTCACGATCGACTGCTTTTCTGGTCGCGAAAAACGTGGAGATATGTGGAGGTCGACAGAAGTCTGAAGTGCGTGAAACTAAAAAATACGAACTCCAGTTCAATACGAACTCGAGAATGCCACTAAATACGACTCTGCCTTGTGATTCTGAAATACTCCCACCACCTGCTTGCATCCGAGCAAGAATTCCAACAATTGACTAAAGGTGCAGTCAGTGCATCAAACAGTGCAGTCAGTGCATCGAACGGCATAGATGCAACGTTACCGTCTGGTAACCACAAGAAGGGAGAGGTTTAGTGCCATCAGGCGACCCGATCACATTGAGAACTGCGATTGGCTGAATGCTATTGGCGCAAGTGATCTATGTTACATTTTGCGCACGTGTACTACCGCTTTTTGTGGTCCAATGCCCCTTTTGCTGGAAGTGGACACATGCCGCTTTTTGAATGCACGGGTGCGGCGGCAAGCTGGGACGTTCGAGTGCTCTGATTCGATATTTCTCTGCGGAATCCGAAGGACGTGGAAGCTGACTTGGCCATCACTGAGTGGGCGACAACAAATTATCTCCTTGTGGAAGAGAATTCTTCGTATGTCGTAATATTTTCCTTTTGTGAGAGCTATGATGCAAATCACTAATGAGGAATCATGTGGGAGCCAATGTCGAGGACAACGGATTTGACTTGGTTGCTGGCTGACAGGCAATCTCCAGGTCGAGCATTCCAGGAGGTCCAGCCAGCACACGATGTCATAGCTTCAGAATCCATGACTTTTTACCTTCGCTAGATTTATCCAGGTCTCGTTTTCATCACGATACGTTTCCCGCCATGAATTCAGCTCTCACGACATGGCTTGAGGTGAATCATCCACAATGCGATGGTGACTAGTCGCTTCAGCATCTTCCGACAAACACGAAATGCTTCCCCTGCCACTAATTCCGTTCGTTTCCGTTTCAGGAGCACGGAGCTCGCATTTCCGGGTGCGACATTCGCAAATGCTTTTTGAAACCCTCGCCATCCGTCGCGCCATTCGCCTCGTTGCCATCTGAACCCAGAATCGTTACGACTGATTCATGCGTTCCAGACGATGAGAAGTCCAGTGCTCGAGCAGCGTTCGCGAGCAAATCGCATGCTCGTGAAAGCGACGCAGCAGCTAGAAATTTAGCAACCAGGGAATCTGAATCTGAGGCTGCAGAAACGAGGCTTCTTCTAGATGATCATGCTTCAGCCAGAGCGGGATTCGGCGTTTTCTTGTCCAGTTCGGATACAGATGAGAGAACGTACACCGTCGATGGAGGTCCGTCCGTGTGACTTTATTTCTTGTGAATTGCCTCGAACGAATCATAGCTCGACTCCGGATGAATCTGCACTTCCTACATCATCCCCACACCCACAGATGCAGTGCTCATCTCCGTGCCGCTGTCTCTCCTCCTCTCCGCGCCCACGGCTTTGCAAGACCCTATCTACGGCGCTTCCCTGCGCCGCCTGCACTCCCAGGGTCTGCTGGACCACCGCATGCTCGTGCTCCTCCTGCTGCTGCTGCATCGATTCCACCAGAAAGAACGCTCCTTCTGGGCTCCGTAAGTTCTTCAGTTCGAGTATTCAAATATCTCCTCTCTCTCGGCAGCCTGCACTCCCAGGGTCTGCTGGACCACCGCATGCTCGTGCTCCTCCTGCTGCTGCTGCACCGCTGCCACCAGAAAGAATGCTCCGTCTGGGCTCCGTAAGCCCTATGCGACTGCAGGACAGATTTCTGAGTCACCATGTATGTCTGTTCCTGGCTTCCGCCCCACGCACCTGCCTGCAGCTTCCTCTCCTGCCTGCCGCACTGCTTCGACTCGCCTCTGTGGTTCGATGAGGCCGCGTTGGAGGAGCTGCGAAGTTTGAAGACGGTCCTTCTCGCCGGGCCCACGAACCCATACTCGTCTCCTGTTCCTCTCTTCCGCCCCATGCTCCTGCCTGCAGCTACCTCTCCTGCCCGCCGCAGTGCTTTGACTCGCCTCTCTGGGTCGATCAGGCGGAGCTGGAGGGTGGACCTTCTGTCCTGCTCGTCTCGCCCACAAACCTGCACTTGCTCTTTCCTCTCTCCCACGCCCTGCCCCACGCACCTGCCTGCAGCTACCTCTCCTGCCTGCCGCAGTGTTTCGACTCGCCTCTGTGGTTCGACCAGGCCATGTTGGAGGAGCAGCAAGGTGGGACTTCCGTCGTGCTCGACTCGCCCATCACCCCATACTTGCGCTTTCCTCTCCCCTCCCGCCCGCCCCACACACCCGCCTGCAGCTACCTCTCCTGTTTACCACAGTGCTTTGACTCGCCTCTCTGGTTCGACCAGGCCACGTTGGAGGAGCTGCAAGGCACTCCTCTCTACGACGCTGCATGTGCGCAGGTAAGCCTTGAAGCGTGAACTTGCATGAGGGCAGCGGACACTTGTGAATCTGTATGAATGGAAAGGGCACGTGTAACTTTGTAAGAGAGCAGAGTGCAATGTAACCCTGGGAGAGGAGCAGGTGGAACCGATTGTTACGGCTGTGGTGGGCTGACTAATTAGAGACTGCCACAACCACAACACGTCCGATTCTGATTTCTCTGCTCCGCTTGTTTCCGAATGCGTCTGCACCTTCAGAGGGCCAACCTGAGACGTGTTTACGAGGAGCAGGTGGAGCCAGTCTTTGCTGCTGTGGTGGGCTAACTTCAACAACACATCGGACTGTGTCTTCTCTGCTCTGCGTGTCTCCATATTCAAATCCCCTGCATCTTCAGAGGGCCAACTTGAGGCGTGTGTACGAGGAGCAGGTGGAGCCGATCTTTGCTGCTGTGGTGGCCGAAGCAGAGGGGGAGCAGGGGAGTGGCGATGCCTCCTGCTGCATCTCCTTGGACGATTTCCTCTGGTACGAGAACGAGTAGTCGTCGGTTGCATTTCTCTTCGCGCTCTTCCTCTTGATTTTCTGCCTCTCACGCAGCGCCTCCTTTCTCTCTGCCCTCACTTCCCTCCCCCCACTGGCCACTGCACTCTTCCTCTCCTTCGACTTGCCCCTTGCCTTGGCTCCTAACTTCTGAATCGACTCAGCGCCCCCTCTCCCCCCACACCCCTTCCCTCCCCAACTGCCCGTCTGTGCCTTCTCTCTCCCATTCTCTCCCACCTTCCCTCCACTTTTCTCTCTCCTGTGCATGCTGTGCATATGCGCCCCTGTGCAACACTCATTCAGGGCCAATTCCATCTTCTGGTCGCGAGCTCTCACCCTCCCTCTCACTCCTTGCCTCTCTGCCTACACCAACGACATTGCGACTGATGCTGATCCCGGTGCTGCTGTTGCTGATGCTGATCGTGCGGCTGACGATGCTGGTGGTGCCGATGCTGCGTCCTCTCCATCACACTGTCTAGAGGCGATTGTCCCGGGAGTTGACTTCTGCAACCACTGTACGTCACTTCATCCTCCCTGCAAGTCCTGCATGACTCTTCGTCACACCACTCCTCTGTAGTCCACTCCACATCACAATGTCTAGAGGCGATTGTCCCGGGAGTTGACTTCTGCAACCACTGTACGTCACTTCACCTTCCCTCCCTCCCAGATTTCTCTCCACAGTTCCTTGTTGACTTTGTAACTAGAAAACTAATCAAGAAAAACCAACCGCACTGACACTATCCTATTTGAACCTTTCCCTTCTCTCCTGGTCTCTTTCCCTTCTAATTTTCTGTTCCGCCCTTCAGCCCTGCTGCCCTGTGCTCGGTGGGAGGTTCTCACAGCTGACCAGCTCACCCGCTCCTCAGGAAAGAACGGCAGTGGGGAAGACGACCGTGGGAAGGGACAAGACAGAGGGAGGGGAGATGGGGCAGTAGCTGGTTCAGCGACATTCGCACAGCCAGTTCAACAGATGCCCAATTCTGATGTTGTGTGCTTGCTGCAAGGTGATGCTCCTAGAGAGTGAGTTTCGCTGCATTGCGTATTGAAGGCCGAGACCTGAATGGAGAAGTTGGGAGGCAAAATCGTGACAGTTGACTTCTGAGTCGACTCAAAAGTCACAAAGTTGGGAGGCAAACTGGTGACACTTTGCCTCCACCAGTCACTGGGTTCTGAACGCGATTATTTTTCCGATTTCTTGCCGAACCTCCTGCTGGGGTTCAACTGGCAGTGCAGCACTGAAAAATGCCATTTCTCAGTCAGATCCGCCATACCTGTTACCCACAGCACCTTCCTGCTCCCAGCCGTCTCTTCCCTCTCCTTCACACTCCTGTGCTCTGCAAAGTGCCTTCTTGGGGGCGTCAGCACTCTTGGGGCGCCTCAAAAAAACATCTCTGGTCCTCCTCCCTCAAAAAAACATCTCTGCACCCCCTTACCACCCTCCTCGACCCACACCGCTATGCAGTGGTGCCTCCTGTAGGAGGTAACGAGGTTACTATCAGCTACGGGGAGAAGGGCAACGAGGTGAGTAAGTGCATGTGGGGGATCATTTGTTCCCTGTTTGGGTGACACATGCTGTTTGTTGTGTGGATGGTAAGTATCTGTAATGTGATCTTCGGGTGGAATGAGTCGTGTTTTGAGTCGACTCAAAACGTGACACACGCTGTTTGTTGTGTGGATGGTAAGTACTATAATGTGATCTTCGGATGGTATAGTGTGCATGTTGGGTGGTCGCATGTGGGTGGTGTCATGTTTAGTTGTCCCCAAGTGATTCCACACGTTCACTTTCTCCCTCCTTCCTCCCTCCCTCTCTCCCTTCCTTCCTCTCACCACCTTCCCTCCGCGCCACTCTCTCACACCAGGAGCTTCTGTTTCTCTATGGCTTCGCCATTCCCAACAACCCCCACGAGTGCCTTATGGTGTGTACCCCTTACATACCGCTTCTTTTTATAGACATGCATCTGCCCCACTCCACACCCCTCTGCCCCACCACACACCTCTGCCCCTGCGTCTCCCCTGCCCGTCTGCTGCACTATCCATCCATTCGTCCTGCATACTGCTTTCCCCCTTGCAGTTCCTCTCCCCTCTATCCACTCACATCCTCGCTTCGCCTGCCTTTCCACTTACCGCACCCGCTTTCCCGATTCCTTCTCATTTTTCTTTCCTTATCCCTTTCCCCCTCCTAGTCCTTTTCCTTTGCCTTTTTCACTTCTCACCGCTCCTCCTTTTCGTCCACTCCCATTGCCCTGCCATGCCCACCAGCTCAACTACCCCCCGGCTCAGCTCCAGGAAGACCCATGCGCCGACACCAAGCTACAGCTATTGGCCGTGCAGGTATAAACGAATCAGCTGCTAACGAATCATGTACTGACACATGTCAGCCACTGATCATACAGGTCCCGGGCTTCTCTTTTACATCCCACAGTTCTTCTTAAACAATCGTCCCGGAGCGATTATGAACTTGATTGTAACAATCCTTTTGCCAGTCCCCTCCTCTCGTCTACCTCTGTGATCATGCTTCTTCCCCCGTATAGGACCTCTCGCTACAATGGATCATTCCGCGTTCCTCCAAGTATCCCAACAATCATCTTCAATATGGTGGTGCTTCATCTGCCAGGACTAGGAAGGAGCAGGGGCAAGAGGAGAGGCAGGGGCAGGAGAAGAAGAAGGATCAGGAGGAAACTCTGGGGCAGGAGGAAAATCAGGGGCAGGAGGAAAAGCAGGGGCAGGAGGAGAAGCTGGGGCAGGAGAAAAGGCAGGGGCAGCAGGTGCTGCAACATAAGCAAGTGCAGCACGGGCAAGAGAATGAGGAGGAGGGTGAGGGGGAGCAGGAGGAGAGTGACCATGGGGGTGTTTTTCCCCCCGGCATGATGGCAGCACTTCGAGTGCTCTCACTCACAGTAGCCCAGGTGGATGCTGCCACCTCAGCACTTCTGGAGGTACGTGTTGCTGACGTGGAGTACAGCATGCATATGCCACGTGGCATGTATGGCATGTGCGGCATCTGTTGCACCTGCCCTGTTAGTAGCCTAAGAGGTTGCTTGCTGTTACCACAAAACCGCCCTGGTTCCTCTTTGTTAGCCTTTAATCCCTGCAGACGCACGGGATGCAGTGAGGGAGGCAGCAAGTTGAGATGCACAGGCGCTGCTGCTGTGCTGCAACAGCGACAAAAACGACCCATCACCACCCATCTACATCCCTTCCGTTCCTCCCCACATCACAGCGCAAGGCAGCAGCAGGGGCGGGGCCTCTAAGCCCTGCAGATGCGGGGGAGGCAGTGAGGGAGGCAGCAGGGGGGGATGGACAGGCGCTACTGCTGCTACTGCAACAGCGATAAAACCACCCATCACCACCCATCCACATCCCTTCCCTTCCTCCCTACATCACAGCAGAAGGCCGCAGCAGGGGCGGAGACTCTGAACCCAGCCGATGCCAGGGAGGCAGTGAGAGAGGCAGCTGGGGGGGATGGACAGGCGCTGCTGCTGCTGCAACAGCTGCTGCAGCAACGGTGAGGGCTCATGGGTCAGGCATGGAAAGTGGAGGCATCAGGCATGAATCATGATTAGTCTAGGGTCAGGCATAATGAGTCACAGGGACACGCAGGATGAGTCTAGGGCAAACAGACGGTGAAGTTAAGGGATGGTGATGTTGTATTTTAAGTCTCGGATGTTCGCATGCAAACTCGATTTTCTCTCTCTTTCCCTTGATCCTCCTCACTCTCTCCCCTGCACTTTCTCACTCTCTTTCCTGCTCTTTCTCACTCTGCCGTTTTTCGCACTCCCCTGTCACACCTCACGTCCTCCCCTGTCTCTCCTTGCAGGCTTGAGAGCATGCTGCAACGCACGGGCACTGCTGAAGAGGACACTGCATGGCTAAATATACATACAGGCACTGATGAGCAGGACAGGAGGTGGGCATGGTGTGGTGGGCAGGGTGTGGTGGGTAGGGCGAGGTGGGCAGGGTGTGGTGGGTATGGGTCGAAGCATGCTATGGTGGGCATTGGATGGGGCATGCTGTGGTTGCCACGGTTGGTTGCACATGTGCGCATTGGTAGGCAGGATAAGAGGAATGCATGGCATAGTGTCCGCACCGCACGAGGTGCTAAGCCCCGATCCAGCATGTGCGAGCATGTCCATGTGCCGGGCCGGTGTGTGCATTCCATCCCACTCACATGCACCCTTCTGTGCATGCAGTGTGCAGCACCAGACTCTCTGTGCACCTTATTGCATGGCTTCGAGCTTCTACCATATTTTAAGTTCCATCTGCAGCAGTGGCATGACTTTGTACTGTGAGCACCCTCCCCTCTCCATTATGCGTCTCTTTGCAGCACACGGCACAAAGCTCTCTGTGTGGTCTATCGCCGGGGTCAGAAGCTGCTGGCTCAAGAGCTGCTCACACGAGTTCCAACCCTATCAGCTTGACTTGTACTATGTGGCCCCACTCTCTTCATACTCATCTCATCCCTCTTTGCACCATGCGGCACAAGACTATCTCTGTGGTCTATCGCCGGGGTCAGAAGCTGCTGGCTCAAGGGCTGCTCGCACGCGTTTCCACATGCCTCCGTCAGAAGCAGTAGCAGTTGTCACCCTGGCTGCTGTTGCACCTCATCTGAATTGGACCCTGCACTCAGGTTCACGTGAAAAGGTGACTTTTGAGTCGACTCAAAAGTCACCTCGTTTCCACATGCCTCCGTCAGGAGCAGTAGTCGCTGCCACCTTGGCTGCTGTGTCACCTCATCTGGAATGCACCCACCCTGCATTCAGGTTCTTGAGAAAAGCCTCTCACACAACCCTCTCCCACGCAATCACGGCTCCATCCCATGCAACCCTCACGCTGGCTGCTGTGTCACCTCATCTGAAATGGACCCACCCTGCATTCAGGTTCTCGTGAAAAGCATGTGGCATGTCGGAGCCAAGCACACCCGTTACAGGTAGCCGCAGCAGGAGCATCAGAAGCAGCAGCAACACCTGCAGCAGTCTGTCAAAATGTTATAATGCTCATATTGTGTAGGCTGTAGTGGGGTAGCCCATAAGAGGTACAATCCAATTAGGGTTAGTACTTGTACCAACTTTCTGCTCAATGCATTCATCCTCGTTCAGTTTCTTGACATGGTTTCAGAGCAGGTCCTGTTCCAGGACCGTTTTTTTTAGGGCCCATCGCATAGTTCCCTGCTCTTAGCGCTGCCCCACTAGTCGCGCTGCCCCACTAGTCGCGCTGCCCTGCCCTGCCCGTCGCACCGCCCTGCCAGCCGCGCCCCGCCCTGCCCTGCCTGTCGCGCCGCCCTGCCTTGCCCGCGCGACCGCCCTGCTGGCCGCCACACCGCCCTGCCCTGCCCGCGCGCCGCCCTGCTGGCCGCCGCCCTGCCCTGCCAGTTGCGCTGCCTTGCCCTGGCCACGCGCCATTCTTCCCTAGCCGTGCGCCGCCCCGCCCTGCCCTGCGTGCTTCCCTAGTGCTCGCGCGCCGCCTTGCCCGTCGCGCCGTCCTTGCCTGCGTGCTGTCCTGCTGGTCGCGCGCCACCCTGCTCTGCCCGCTATGGCTTCTCTCAGCGTTCTCACCTTCGATCATGAGGGCCGTCCGATCCAGCTCGATACGTGGCTCGACAACTTACAGCTGTACGTACTGAGCGGTTTTAGAGACAGCGTTTCGTTGTTTGACCACACATCTGGAGCCTCTCTCGCCCCTTCCGACACAACTGATAGTGCGACTCGCTCACAGTGGCTTACCCGTGACGCTGCTGCTCGATTAGCCATTCGCAACCACCTGCCGTTAGCCGAACGCGCTCACTTTGGCCAGCACAAGATTGCTAAAGCCCTGTACGACGCTGCAGTCGCTCGCTACTCTTCCCCTGCCACTGCTGCTCTCGGCCGCCTTATACTGCCCTACCTTTTTCCCAAGCTGTTAGGCTTTGCCACAGTCTAGGACCTCATCACCCACCTTCGCATTAGCGACACTCGCTACCGCGCTGCCCTCACAGCCGAGTTCGTAGACAAGAACCCGCCCCCGATGTACATCACTCTCTATTTCATAGGCACCCGCCTCCCTGACTCTCTTCGCGCAGTCAGGGACCAATTTCTCGCACTTGACCCCACATACCTCACTGTCTACCTGCTTGAAAAACACCTCCTTGCAGCTGAGACTAGCGTAGTCGCTGTAGGTGCTGCTCGTGGCACTCCTCGCACACCCTTATTTGAGGGGTGTTCCCCCTCCTCCCTTCCCCCCTCCTACGCTTCTGCTGCTGCTGTGGACATCCTTCGTATTGAGGACGTCGGGGCTGCTTCTGCTCATAGTGGGAAGCGCTGCAGCGACAAGGGCAAGGGAGGTAAGAGTGGTGGCGGTGGCAGCGGGGGTGGTGGTGGTGGAGGCGGTGGAGGCGATGGAGGTGGCGGAGGTGGCGATGGGAGTGGTGGCGGGAGTGGGGGCTTAGGTGGCGGCGGTGGTGGCAGCGGTGGGAGTGGTGGTGGCGGTGGTGGCGGCAGTGGGAGTGGTGGTGGCGGCAGTGGTGGCGGTCGGGGTGGACCTGTTCAGAGGGGAGGTTTTGGCAGTGGCCAGAGGCAGCAGCAGCAGCATCGAAGCAAGACCCCTACGCCCTAGCAGCTTCGTGAGTGGTTTGCTCAGCGTGGGGCGTCTGGGGGTAGTGTTCGTTGCCCGTATGTCATTCGCACAGGTGACCGCGCTGGTCAGACATGCGGGAAGTTTCAGACAAAGCACCGCTGCTTCTCCCACCTTGACGATGCTTGGCGCGCACAGTTTGGCGACGAGGCTGAGCGCCCCCGCCGGCTATAGCTGCTTAGGTCTGGTGTTGATATCCTTGGTGCCATGTATGCCTTGTCTGTTAGTGCTGAGGGTGACTGTTACCTGTGTGTGCCGCCCGACCCAGGTATAGAGGATGCTGCTCTAGGTGCTAGTGAGTCTGCTCTCTCTGGTACTGTGCCTGCTGAGGCTTTGCACACCTTCACGCTTGACTCAGGTGCATCCCGCTGTTTCTTTCGCGACAGTACCACACTCACTCCACTCCCTGCACCTGTTCCAGTTAGACTGGCTGACCCCTCAGGGGGCCCAGTTCTTGCACGTTCCTCCACTGTTCTCCCGTGTCCGGCGGTTCCATCCGGCTCACTCTCAGGTCTTCACCTCCCCTTGTTCTCTACAAACTTGGTGAGTACCACTGCCCTCCAGGATGCGATGGTCACTACCACCACTCCTGGGGGTCAGCGTGTGTTGATTTGCACGTGTACACGGACGAGCCGTCACCTGGCCATGTTCACCCGTCGGCTTGGGTCCAGTCTGTACACACTTACTACTGAGCCTCCTCAGGTAGCTGCATCTGGTTAGGTGTCCGCGTGAGGTCCGGTAGCAACCCCCTGCTCGTGTTGCTTCTTGACGCACCAGACTCTCCTTTAGCACCACCGCCTTGGTCACCCCTCCTTGCCACGCCTTCGTGACATGCACTCCCGCCTCCTTGTTTCTGGTCTTCCCAAGTCTCTGCCTCCCCTCCCGCCCTCACCTGCCCCGCCTTGCCTTCCTTGCGTCGAGGGGCGGCAGCGCGCCGCTCCTCACTCCTCCTTGTTTCCCCCGACAACTGCTCCACTGCAGACTCTCCACATGGACGTGTGGGGCCCAGCCCGCATCAGTGGACAGGGCCGCGAGCGCTACTTTCTGCTGGTTGTTGACGACTACACGCGTTACACCACGGTCTTCCCCTTGCACAGCAAGGGTGAGGTCCTTGATGTCTTGATCCCTTGGATCTGCGCAATCCGTCTCCAGCTCCGCGAGTGGTTTCGACCGGACCTTCCTGTCCTGCGTCTGCACTCTGACCGAGGTGGTAAGTTCTCCTCCGACCTCTTGCGGGACTTTTGTCGTGGGGAGGGCATCCTCCAGTCGTTCACGCTTCCGGCCTCCCCGCAGCAAAATAGGGTTGCTGAGCGCCGCATTGGCTTAGTCATGGAGGTGGTTCGTACCTCCATGATCTATGCGGCTGCTCCCCATTTTCTGTGGCCGTTTGCGGTACGGTACGCTGCGCATCATCTCAACCTCTGGCCCCGTGTCTCCTTGCCGAAGACCTCACCTGCACTGCGTTGGACGGGGAAGGTTGGCAATGCGCCATTCCCTGCGTCTTCCTTGGTTTTCACCCTGACGCGCCTGGCTGGCAGTTTTACCACCCCACCTCGTGCCGTGTCCTCCCCTCTCAGGACGTCACGTTTGACGAGTCAGTTCCCTTTTACCATCTCTTCCCCTACCGCACTGCCCTTCTCCCCCCCACGCCGCTCTTCCTCGCTCCAGGTCCCCCTCCAGTAGACCCCCTCCCCCCTCAGGGTCCTGCTCCCTCAGGTGTGTCTCAGG